ATACATTTTTAGAAATTAGCAAGAAAAATGACTATTTAAATTCCCTTTCAAAAATAATATTTTAAGTTGTAAATCTATTCGCGATTCACATTCACATAATGGGGCGAGGGCGGCCAAATATCTAGCACGCGGGCGGCTAACAGCCCGGAACTGGTCCTAGATAGAATCATTGGAAGCGTTATAAGATATTTTGGTGTATGGCATCCACTAGCTAAACCGCGAGGTTGGTGCTCTGTAAAGCGTATGCACGAATGCGTATAATCCGGCTGTTTGGAAGCTGTCCCGTGCTCGACAATACAGCGCTTCTATTTCGCCACTGATATTCGAATATACAATAGCAGTCTTGTCGTTTGTTTTACATGTAGTATAGAAATTTGTAATAAGATACATAATGTGGTTATAATAAAATATTAACTTTAATTATATGAAAATAATCGCACAATATATCTTTATATTTTAGAAAATACAAGGGAAGCGGCGCTTCCGCCGCTTACAGGGACGGCACGCTACTGGTGTATGATAATTTTAAGCGAAATGCGATAACTTCAAGGGGCAGAAATCAATTTTATCGCGTAAGGTTGGCAACCTGGTTGGTCGTCAAAAGTTGTATTCCGAAACAGTCAAAGTGAATAAATGGTTACTACTATTTCGACAGATTTTGCCTTCATTTTTAATTTTAAACTTAATTACTATCCGGTTATAAAAGTTGAAAATCGAAAATATTCTACAAAGATTCGTCACCAGAGTCTACGTTTACCAGCGCTTACTTCCAGCGGATAAAAAGCTTTACATCCCGATATGGTGTGGATGGAGAAAGGGAAGAAGACGTCTGTGTTATTACCATCTCTAAATTTAAAAATTGTTTGTCTTAATTAGATAGTTTTTATCGTTTTTAAAATGGAATTTTAAAAATTTGGCGACTGAGGAGCCTACAATGGTGGGTCGTCAAAAGTTGTATTCCGAAACAGTGAAAGTGAATAAATGGTAAGTGCTGTTTCGACAGGCTCTGTCTTCAATTTTAATTTTAAAATGTTTTATATTGTTTTAATTTGTTTAAAAAATAAACAACTGTTACTCCAAATACGCACTTTATTAAGATATAGTGGCTTAAAGAAAGAATTATTACTCGTTCTTCAATATCAGCTATTTGAGATTACAGTTGATATAACGCATACCCTTAGAAATAGGAATGAATCATCACGGTAATTGGCTGATGTTACGTGACTTTGAAGTCACTTCCTTTTTCTCTCTCTAGAACAGTGGTTCCAACTTTTTTGACTTGCATTTGGCAGCCATTTTCCTAAGTTTTGTTTCCCCTTTTCCATTTTATTTCGCGTGTTCGCGCCTTGGTCAATAAAACAGCACTGTACAATTACACATTTTTTTTATTTAAAAGTAAGCATTGAGTGCCGTGAGTCTGCGGATTCTGCGTTGACGCCAAAGGCGTCAACGCAGAATCCGCATAATTGCTATACATTATAAACTTGATTATATATTTCAAAGAAGCATAATATACTATTATGTTTCTTAGTAAATTTCTTCATAATCATTTTCAAAGAAGCCTACATAATGGTCAGCATAGTTATGCTAATTTCATAGAAACGTATTTGAGATCACAATAAATACACGTAAGCTACTTATTATGTAGGATATACAGTATATAGAAGTTATGCAATTAAGTGCTTCTGAAGGGGAGAGAGAGCGCGAATCTATGCCGTAAGTCACGTGACATCTGCAGCCAATTACTGTGATTCATTCCTACTTTAAGCGCATGTGACAGAACGATGATTAAAGTTACTGAGTAGAACAGGCTGATCTTGTCGCCAAATTGAATCCACGCGTAAAATTTCACAATTTTAAAATTAACTTATTTGCATTTTAATTTTAAAATTACGAACTAATTACAGTATTTATCATTGTAATTCAGTTATTTCCGTTATTAAAACAATAAAAAAGAGCTGTTTCATAAAACTACAGTTTTAATGGAAAAATCCTCCAATCTATAAAATTCCAGTTTCCTTGGCGATATGGTTGAGGCAGTAAGGCTTACTGTTCTGAGGGATCCGAAATCAAATTCTGGCATGTCGCGAAACCCAGAAATTTTTCAGGTGTGATTTGCCCCTAATATGTCGAGCCTTGTTCTTCACCACCTGGTCACTCCATTGTAGACCTAACCGAACACACGATGGACCTAGAAAAAGGTTTTCTAGTATCCATAGGGCACAAAGAAACAAAAAATTCCTGGTTTTCAATGGCACGTCAACTGTCTTAACTAATCGTTCAGCATTGTCACAACGCCTACAAAGAGCTGACTGTAAGAGAAAGTAGTTTTGTGAATTGGAGAGAACATCGTTGGTGTATGCTCAACGACTGCATTACCAACTACAACAACATTATCATCATAAACGTTGTGGCCAAAGTTAAAAGTCAAAAAAACGTGTCCTTGGTTATGACGTGTTTTGTGTTTTTTCCCCTTTGGCTTGTGTGACTTTGAGAAAACTGGAAACTATTTTGTATTAAATGGCGTAATATAATTGTTAAGAAATTTCTCGTAGCTCCGTGAACTCAATATTACATACTAACCGATATTTTGCATTACCCGAACTCGTTAACAAAGATATACATATTCTACTTCTACCACAAATCGCATAAACCGATAACATTAACGAAGTTTAACTATATAACGTTAATGCATGATGCCACTAGATTACCAAGAATAAATCCACCAATCAGCATGGTCCGAATTGCACTGTTAAGTGGAAATTGTAAACATGAGAGCGGCTATCTAATAGTAAAATTGGAATATTACTGATATGAGTACAGTATCGATACTTTCATTCGATATGAGTATTTTCGTGTCGATAGTTTTGTTTTGATATTTACTCGGTATCGAAATAAAGTTCTGGTATAGGATCAAATTGGAAAAAAGAAAATTGTGAGACAACGGTAATATATCGATTGCTATACATCAGAATGTGGATTTCGTGGATTCAATCTAGTTATACGAATTATCAAAAAGTATGATGGCGTACGTATTTTTATGACGTTATGGTATAAAAAATCAAAGAATTATAATGAAAACAACGATTTGGCTACTTTTATTGAAATATCTAGCTATAAATTTGAATTAGCAACATTCCTAACCCCATATATGTATGTACAGTACCGTACATTACTGTATATGGGGTTAGAAAATTCTCACTTCCTGGTACTGTAACAATGATTATGTTTAAAGAGGCCAAAGTCCAGGTCCTACGAGAGGGGTGAAGCCAAGGCCCATCAGATGAAAAAAGTTTAAAAATGTCCACTTTCTGATTTTTTTTTCCAAATAATGAAATAACTTTGGTCATGGGCTAACACAGGAGTGGCCAACAGTTTTTGCCCCCGGGCCGAATTGGAAAGAAAACTTTTTTTTTTCTTTTTAGGCGTTAGAATTTTTCACCGATCTATTCTGACTTGAGTTTTTTTTTTAACTCTTTCCGCCCTGTGGGCACTAAGAGGTCCTCTTTTTGCAAGCTCATTATGGGTTCGGCCAGGCCCACAATGGGGCTACCGGGTGGTGAGGGACGGGGCCCGACATATCCGAACGGGCCAACCCCCGAAAAATTCCTGGGGATTTTTCGACCCGTTCGGATTCGAGCCCGGGTCCCCCAGTGCGGTAGGCTGCCGCCTTGAGCGCTCGGCCATCCGGCCGCCATTCTGACTTGAGTAGCTAATATTGAAAGATTAATCGCGGGCCGTATGTTGATCATGCATGGGCTAACAGTTATACAGTACTAGATAATTTTTCTATTTCAGTATCATGTTATTTGTTGTTTGTATAAGCAAGATCTCCGCAAGGGATATCCAAAATGGTCTTTGCACCGACAGCTCTCCATTCTCTCGGGGGACCCACCAGTGGCCAAGCGGTTCTGTTCCCTTAACACTGAGGGTGGGTTCACGCTTCGTCAGGACGGGCTGACCATGTGGAGTTTTCCGGTTTTCTCCACGTCTGGATAACTAGCTCCTATTCAGATGGGGGAGACGACGTCTCCCCCATCTGAATAGGGGCTAGTTATCCTTAAAAAGACCTCTCGAAAGGTGTCCCCTCTAGGCAGAGTTGCGTTGCCATAACAAAACAAACAAACCATTCTCTCGGGACCCTGCAAAGAGTATAGTGTGTGTATTTTCAAATTCTTGATGTTCTCACTTAGGTTTTAGAAAATTGTTTTAAATTATGAAAAGACAACGAAAGACATAGTTCAAGGAAGATTAAACATAAATAATATCAACATCCATCTAAATGTTGCTCATATAATTACGGAATAAATTATAAAGAACTGAAGTTGTAAATTTTTACAATATAAATTATTTTTCGGACAGATTGGTTCGTCAGTCCCTACCTAAATTTTTTTTCTTATTTCGTTTTTAATAATATCAGGGCTTTATTTCGATACTGATTAATATCTCATGATTCTTCAATTATCTGGTAAATGGCTCAATATACCGCGAGGTATCGATACTTTCTTTTGATAATATCGCGATATTGTCCCTTTTTTGACTCTCCGCTCTGTGAGCACTAAGAGGGCCCTTTTTTATAGCAAACCCAATGTGGGTTCGGTTGGTTTATCTGATTATGGCAACGCTACACATGGGCGATCTGCCGAGGGGAAATGCCTTCCGGATGGTCTTTTATGGGAAACTGGCTCCTATTTAGATATTACTAACGTTAACTCGTTTTTCCTTGTGTGGGAAAGGCTCGGAAATATTCTTAGAACCTCACACTTTANGCGATATTGTCCCTTTTTTGACTCTCCGCTCTGTGAGCACTAAGAGGGCCCTTTTTTATAGCAAGCCCAATGTGGGTTCGGTTGGTTTATTTGATTATGGCAACGCTACACATGGGCGATCTGCCGAGGGGAAATGCCTTCCGGATGGTCTTTTATGGGAAACTTGGCTCCTATTTAGATATTACTAACGTTAACTCGTTTTTCCTTGTGTGGGAAAGGCTCGGAAATATTCTTAGAACCTCACACTTTATACCCATACCATATATTGTTCTCCATATTTAGAAACTATTAAATTCAATGTTTTTTACCTGTTATAATGGATGAAAGGAAAAGGTTGTCGGCGACCCCAAGTTTCGCCAATGGTCATCGTTCGGTCAGGAGGAACCTGACTCCACCTCTCCCTTGCTTCTTATCGCTCCCTAGGTTTACTCCTAACCCCAGGGGGCGGTAGCGCCACTTTGGAACCACTGTTATAATCCGATCATAAAACTGGGATTATCACCTTATTTTTCTATATAAAACATTAAATTCATATATAAAGTTTAATCCGCAATATACCTGTCGATTATTAAATTTTTTCGTTCGTTATTAATATATAAGTTATTATTAAATACGCTACCAGAGATAATCGCTGAGGCTATTTTAACAGAAAGAAGAAGGGAAAATTTAATTATATGAGGGAAATTTTAGGGAAATTTCTGACTACAAGATTGCTCTTCCATCGAGAGTATGTGATGGAGAATTAAGCGATCGAAGTGTGCAGGAAAGTTTTGTTGAGGAAATTCAAATTCGTACGAAAATGCCAGACTTTGGACACAGCGAGGTGTTATTTACGCAAGGCAGCAAACCCATGAAGTTTTATATGCGTCCTTGTTCCGAAAAACAACGACTCAAACCCGCGATAGAACATGGCGGAGGAATGCTGACTAGTAAGTGGACGGAAGGAATTTATCGTTTAATTCCTCCTGACAGTAAAAAAATAACCGAAACTGGCATCTCTTCCAAATTTATCGATGATTGCATCGAACATAATCGTCTTCTAGACATGTCCGATTACGAAATAAAATCAAATGATGCCGAAGTTAGTGACATAAGCGATGATGATAGTAAATATCAAATACGAACTACTGCGAGATGTATGAAAACCAGGAAGGAATATACACGAAAAGACGATGAACGTATAATCAGTTACGTCCTCAAAACGAAAGGATATAATGATGTCAAAGGTCGTAGTTATTGGATACAAATGCAAGACCGGAAAGTGTTACCTCAGCGCACTTGGCAGTCGCTAAAGGAACATTTTGTTAAGAAGATCATTCCAAACATTCACACTTTCGATTTGGATCCTAAACAGAAAAGGGCATTCCTGAGACCTTTCGGACGTGCCGGTTCGGAAGAGTCGACCAGTGGAGATGAAGACTTTGAGTTTTCCAAAACAGATGACATGGTAATTTTAACTTATATTCTGAATAATGATAATTATCATAGAATTAAAAAGCAATCTTTTTGGAAAGAGTTGAAACAGAAATATATTCCATATTGTTCCTGGATGGAGTTGAGGAATAGATTTTTTGATACTATTGTGCCTTCCATTGATAAATATTCTCTTTCTTCGACGAATATAAACAGACTTAAATCGGTGATTAAAATTCCAAATTCTACGTTTTCGGATGTGGAAAACTTAAGTGGTGATAAAGTGCATCCATCAAACAAGAATATTAGTGCAACGAGACTTGCTTCAAATGTAAATCCTAATCATTCAAAAACTGATGTTTTTTCTCCTGAAAAAAATAATAAAGTAGAAAATATGACTGAAAAAGAAAAAACACCTGACACATTAGCCAAAACAAAATCCAATGATATTGATATAGAAAAGTCAGATCCTAACTCAAATTCGAAATTTCCAGGAATTTCTTGGACTGTAGTTTTGCAGGCCGAGGAACCACATCTTTTGTGTAGAGGTTCGTTAGATGAAACAGATTCTAGAAATAAAAATAAAAACGATAAACATTTAAAATTGCCAGCTTGTAATGTGGAAACAAAGTCGTCAGAAAATTTCACATATTCTTCAAGTAGTGATGTATCTGAAACACCAGAGAAAAATAAGAAGTTGCAAACTTCTAAATATAGAAAAACAGATAAAGTACACCAAAAATCTAAAGTTTTATTTGAAAAGTTTTCTATGGCTGATATTGAGGAATATCTTAAAAAGACGAACGAAGAAGGAAGCGAAAACAAAGAAATGTCTGAGAAATCCAATTCATCTTTACAAAATCTTTTAATTGAAAACTTAAGAAAAAGCTTAGTAAATAAATTACATAGTAGAAATCATCCAGCTGATAAATTATTGGAAAATTTAAAAACTGAAAAACTTGATAATGTGGATTCCAGTCTCTTAATAGGATTATATCAGAATGAATCAAAATTGGAAAGTAGTTCTGATTCAAAAGTAAGTTTGATTTTTACATTTTAGAAGATACTTAAAATTACTTATTTGTAATTCAGTTGATCAGTATTAGTGTACAGGATGTCATATATTAATTTCAGTTGCTTAATATTGATTTAATTTGCATACACTATAAATTGTAGAAATTTAAAAGTGTTAGAAGTGGATTATTTGAAAAAGTTTGGAAAGTTACTGAGATAAAATTCAGGAAAAGCATTGATTTTTATTTTAAATTCATAAGTAGTACTTTTTAATTTGGTGCATGTTTTTAAAATAATGAAATCAAATACTTCCAAAAAAATGCAATACTGGTAAGTTAATTCCTAACAATTTATTATTATTTTTTAATTTATTGTTTGATTTGAATCTTTTGCATTTTTGAAACAGTAATAATATGAATTTTTTAAGTATAAAAAAATGATTATTTTATTGATATGAAACTCAAAAAGACATTTTTATTGACCTACATCTAATAACACCTTTAAACCTTTAATCAAAGTTTATCGTATTACAATAATGAAATTTGATATCAGATAGTTTTCAGCTTAACTTTATGAATAAAATTATTTTTTTTAGCTCAATGAAATAAAATCACTACTTTATTTATTCAGAGATTATATTAAATCATTTTTCATTTAAATTAAAAAATAAAAGTGAATAATCTAAAATAAAATATTTTTTCAGAAATATTCATACTTATAAACCAGCGCTGTCCAACTTATCATAGTCCGCGGGCCATATTTTCTTTATCAAACATTTCGGGGGCCAAGAAGGTTGATAAACCACACAACATTTGCATAGTGCTGTGGTTCAGTAAGCACTAATTGGTCAGCGAGTCCGATGTTGACGCTATAAAAAGGCGACAGTTCGACACACCGGATATACGTCACTCTCGTCTAAGTTCGACTTGGGAATTTTTTTGTTCAATAATAAATGTGAATTCTTCTTCCTGGAAAAAATAAGACATTCCCTGAAAATAAGACCTAGCGCATTTTTCAGAGCAAAAATTAATATAAGACACTCTTATTTTTGGGGAAACACGGTAGTAAAATAATTTTAATATTAATAATAATAATTTAGTAACAAATTTATTCATAGTAAAATGTACTCGAGGGCCGTAAAAATTATTTGGCGGGCCGTATATGGCCCGCGGGCCGCCAGTTGGACAGCGCTGTTATAAACTAAACTGAATTGAAAATTAATGAAAATTTCATTAGTAATCAGTAGCTTTTAAAAACTCTAAGTAATAATTTATTAATATACAATGAAACCTCCATTAACGGACACTCCTGAATAGCAGACATCTCTAATTAACAGACATTTTTACAATCCCCCAGACTCTTCAAATAGGGCATCTATTATAATAGGGCATGGATTATCTGAATCAATTGGGGACTGGGGTTGTTTGGAAAATCAATTTTTTGGATAACCGATAATATACAAAAAAATATATTAACCTACCCCATGTTGAAATTCGTTCAAATCCTGGCACGTCCTTAAGTACCCCCTTATGGTCGCACCAGTGCTGCTAGCTAAAACACGCACACTAACAAAAATAATATTGGAGTAGCCCAAGACATAGCCAAAGATTGCAGCGCCACAGCACTAGTGGAAATTTAAATTTGCTGACTGGAAAACTTTCGGTTAATTGATTAAAATGTTTTGGTTGATTGATATTCAGATAATCAATACTCTACTGTATATTCATCTCTAAATAGTGGACACTGTAAATAACAGATGCCATCGTATGTTACTTACCTTAGTCCCGCATAAAGTCCCACCTTCAATATTCCAAAATAATTAATTACATACAAAATATTTTAAAACTAAAACAAAGAATCACTTCAGATACTCTTTCAGAGGAAGAATTTTGACTATAGACATTGAATAAAGACTGGCATAAAATAGGAATGGGGAGGAGGGCAGGTTTAAAAAGCCAAACAATATCCATTATCTGTTAGATAACACTAAACTGATTAAGTTGCAATCACCATTTACTGTAATACATATTAAATGTTATTAAACTTGTCTTATTGTTGGAATTAAGCTTATGATGCCAAGAAACCATAAACACTTCTAAAGTTATTCATTCACTCGACAAGAACTGTAGTACAGTAGTAACAAAAAAGAAACAGTTTTAAGGTTAAGATAACAGCATTTATTTGGTAAAAGTTCAAAGATATGTTACAAAGGCAATTTCTTGACCACTTTAAATTGTAGGAAGATATTCGTTTTTCTTGACTTTATGATGTAATATATGATCTTAACAGTTTTGTGATGACTAAAGTAATTTTTAATAAATCATTTATTGAAAAAAGCAAAAATGTTTGAAAAATTACACCTAGTTGATTACTTCAAAGTAGACAAATCACTATATCAATTTTTATTAGTCACTTAGATCATAAATGACATTATAAATGCAAGAATATCGTATACATTTCTTACCTCTTAAGGTGGTTAGCAAATTGCCTTAGTAACTCAACAATTGTACTCTCATCACTTAAACTCTTCTGTTCATAATAACAGTTTCATTTTTTCTTGTTACTTCCACTCAGGTCATTTTTGATGAATTAATAATTAATCAATGTTTATGTATTTTCATATTTTTATGTTCCATTTAATTAAAATATCCTGTACAGTCTGTTTCTTAGAATTGAATTAAAATGTGATTTTTATAGCTGAAAAGATAAATAATATACAGTGAGTGATCGGTTAACGAACAAATCGGATAACGAACACTTTCGCGAAAGATTTTTATGATCGGACAACGAACGCACAATCGGATAATGAACACGTCACTGAACAAACATAAAAAGAAGCGACGAAAATAGAAAATACTGATTGATTTTCCTGTCTTCAAGTAACTTTTTGGGACGTGGGAGACGTCAACGTCGACGCTCAACCCGATATATACTGATCAGATAGTATTCTTCGAACTTTGAAATACTCCCTTGTAATTCCAGCCTTTTATTTTTCTGACAAACAATTCTTTTATAGTATTCGCGAGACTGTCGGGCGGGCACTCATTAAGTTTTGCGTCGGTTTTTATTTTTGAAAGGTGAGAGTATAATAGCAAAGGTAGAGAGTGGGCAGAAGATGTCTGATGTTGCTGGGCAGTATGGCTTGAACAAATCTACAGTAGGGCGCAGTCCAATCTTATCTAAGAAAGATACAGTATAATTAAGAAAACTCAAGCAGCTAAAGGAGTAACAAATATCACATCTGAGAAATAAAGAACATTGAAGAGCTCGTAATGGAACCTGAAACGAATCTGACGACAGAAGAATGCCAAGAACTCTTGAATAAAGAACACCAAGAAACTCAGCGAGATATGTTTTCTTTTGAAAAAGAGGATTAATGCTGATATCTGCTATTAATTAAAGATCTTTTGAAGAAGTGGGGGATGTCAGATCAACGGTCTTAGAATGGCATACAAACCAGGTTGAGGTTAATAGGCTTGGGGATCTCTACAATTACAAATCTATTAATTCTGAAAATCATGAAGAAGAGAGAGAAGCAATCGACATTAGACAGATTATTTAACCCCTACAAACAAAAAAACATCACTAATAAAAATGCAAGAGTGTGTATATATGTATTTTTATTATTATATATAAATAAACATAGTAAGAACGTATATATATTTTTTATTTTTGGGGGTCTCCAGAACGAATTAATCAAATTCCCATACAAACATATGGTAAATTGATAATCGGTTAACGAACAATTCGGATAGCTAACAAAGTCTTGGAATGGATTATGTTTGTTAACCTACTGTACTGTATATTTTAATTATAACACAAACGTCCTTCAAACTGTAACACTGTGTTGAGTAATAACTGCCCACAAAACACCTTTATCGGTGTTGTGTTTGTTACACAACACTGTTACTAAGGTGCTGCCTTTATCAGTGTTGTGTTTGTTACACAACACTGATAAAGGCAGCACCTTAGTCAGCACCTGAAGAAGACCTTGGTGGATTACATTAGTGCATTTTGTAATGAACATAACACTGATAAAGGTTTTTTTGTGGACAGTTATTTTAATTATATATTTCACATATACTTTTTGGTATTTTCACATTCCTAATACAACTTTGATGTTTTTGTAATCCATTGTATTCTTCACTTTATAATGACCAGGTTAAAATACAATATGGCCTCTGGCCTGTACCTATGAATAGTGGACATACTTCTTGGTCTCGACACTGTTTACTATTCAGAGGTTATACTGTTTTAATATTCCACTAGTGTGCTTATTTTTGTAAAATGTACAGTACATATATTTGTGTATTTCATATACATTTAAGTTTTATATAGTTACATATAAATGTTGCATGCAGATTTATTAAAATAAACATCTTATGAAGCTAAAATTAATTAAAATTATTTTAATCTCATATTACACTTTTTCCAAATATCTGTTAGCTATACAACACAAAAATAAATACAAACCAATCTGAATATAACCACAGAAAATAAACAAATATTGCTTTTTTTTTATGTTATGCTTTTGATAATGAAATTATTTTATTTTTATTATTTTACAAATACAATAGGAAGTATCATTGGACAATATTAAAAATACATATTTTAATTATAATTACTTTCAGTATCACAATTATTACATACATATATTATTTTAGCAAGAGATATACATACGAAATAATTAGATGTACTATATCATATTATTGTATTTCTATTTCATATAACTTTTTCTTGGTATATTTCTAGAAATGTATTGTATATCTTTTTATTTATGTGCTTTCTTTTGTAAACAGTGCTTTGGATTATATGATGGGAAATAAGATCATACAATAATACTTAAGAGAATTCACACAAAGCAAATATCTTTATACAGGTCAAATTTTAATATAATGAAATTTCAGAATACTGAATAATTTTCATGTTTACATGAACTTAAAAAATTTGTAAAACAAATTTTGTTTTAGTGTAATGAATTTATAAAACAAATTAATCTAGTATAATGAATAAGTTATTACT